CGGACCGGTGGTTGGGGACCCCTGTTGTAGGGAATCAAAGAGAGAAATCTGTCTTGTTAGATGGCTCTTTCCGAATCCTTTTCATTGCAATACCACAGGGGGGGGGTCAAGCTCCGTTTCACTGAGGGCCGCATCAGGGTTGTGTTTGGCCTTGGGGGAATGTGGCCAGGGTGGGCATGGTCACCTCAATGTCACTTGTGTCTGGGGCACTTGTGGTGGCCTAGGCACTCCCCCCCCTGGGTTCCGTTTTCTCTGGCCAAGGCACCGTGGGCCGGTCCTTTCCTGTTTCAAGGGGCACCCCATAGACCAGATCTAAGCACTCCATGGGCCGGATCTGTCCTGCAGGTCTTGAGTTTATCACCCCTGCAATACAAAGTTCAACAGTCTTAATAATGATGGGGTTCTTTCTATTTTTACAGGGAAGAGAAGAATACTGGCCACTCCATACATGCCTTGATCACAGAGATTGTGCCTACTGCTCATGCAGCCAAGATAAATGAGACCCAAGATTCACTCCCAGAAGAGAAGGCTCTGACAATATTGTTATATATTACTCTACCTTTCTCTGTTTTTGGACTTTTCAGCAATGGAGCTGTTTTCTGGTTTCTCTGCTGTAGAATCAAAAACACTAAATACACAGTATACGTACTGAATTTAGCCATTGCTGATTTCAGTGTCCTCTTCTGTCACATAACCTTTTTTATCAGTTTAATTGTATGGGAAGATGCTTTTTTTGGTGTGCATTTCTATGTAGCATTTGATATCTTGACTTTTTTTGGATTCAATACCAGTTTTTTCCTATTGACAGCAATTAGTGTGGAGAGGTACGTGGGGACCTTTTTCCCTCTCTGCTATCGTTTTAAACGGCCAAAGCATCTTTCCACCATACTGTGCACTGTCCTGTGGGGCCTCTCCTGTATCATGGTGGGAATGGACTATATATGTTGGCAGAAATACATCTCTTTGGGAGATATTTATCCTGAAAATGCAGTCATTGTCACTGTTCTCATGATATTTTTGCCAGTTATGGTCTTTTGTAGCTTCAGTCTGTTTATCAAAATATCGAAGATAAAATCTCCAGCTCGCTTTTATCGCACTATCCTTATCACAGTCATTCTCTTTCTTATCTTTGCTATGCCTCACAAGATCCTTTCTCTGATAGAATACATGCAGCCAACACTGCCCATAAATGAGACCATCATTCGTAGCTTTTCCTTGCTTAATGTAATCAACAGCAGCCTCAATCCTTTTGTTTATTTTTTTGTTGGAAGACAGAAAAGGTGTCATTCCAAGGAACCCTTGCAGGTAGTGATCTATAGATCCTGCAATGATGAATCCCTGGGTCATGCAAGCAGTGAAACAGTGACTCATTCCCACTAAAAGGAGCTTTCTACTGATCCATTTGGTGAAAACTGATCGATTCATTCAAAAGGCTGCTTATGAAGTTCTCTAACACATTCCAGGATGATGATTTGCCAGGGCAGATTTCCATATCTCTAATCACACCACCTCTGTACCTGAGGCCTGATTTTGTTTTTCATTTTCTTACCTTGACATGGATATATAATTTTACTTTGGTTGGCTTTTTAGATAATCAACATTATTGTTTGCAGCTGATATATAGAGCCTTTCTCAATAACCTTGATTATATATTTTTTGGCAAATTAAGAAGTCTCTTGGCTCTTCAGATATCCAGTTTTCTTCAACATGCAATGAAGCATGGGCCAACGTGCTAATTGTGTCCATGTGCAAACTTCTTTTGCATTGTGCCATTTGTTTTGGCTTGTTTGTTTCTTGTAGAACTATTTTATATGTGTGCCCGTTCTTCATTTTATTGCAAAGAAAATGGAGCTGACATGTTGAAACAGAAAAATAACAGTTAGCAATAAGCTTTAACCAGTGTCTCTTACTTTAGCTATGAAGAACGAAAAACCCACACAACCCTCTCTTCACTTCCAATATTGCTAAAAGTAATGGCATTAGAGGTATGTGTGGATGCTGATTTCCTTAAGAGGACAACATTTTATTTCCTAGGAAAGAAGAAAATAATAGCTGAACGTGCTTAGGCACATCTGCAGAAGATGAGGACAAAGTCAGGGAACAATGGATTGGATTTAAAATGTGTGGGGAATAATTACAGATGGAATGGGTGTGATACACACTCAATGTGACTCATACTCAAATATAATATCCTGGGATATATATGTAACGATCATCTTGACTTCCTATTTAATTGCTTCCTGAAAAACAGGTATAACTTTTCTTCATTGACTATGCACCTTTTTTTTTTGGATCGTTATACCTGAACTCCAGAAAAATAAAACGCCTCCTTTACATCCTATGGGTTCAGCCATGCCACTATACCTCTTTAATCCTGCATTATCCTATCAGAGCATCAAGGTCCATATAATCTGAAAGGAAGCACCTTTCCCACTAGTCACTCTCCAGCCCTTGCCACCACCACTTCTTCCTCCAGCATTTGGCTTCTCAGCACTGTTTCTTGAGTTTCTTCCTTGCAGATTTTATCATTTCCACAAATCCAGCCAGATGTAGAAGAGGAAACTAGAACTGCATTATTTGATTCAGGGAAGAAGAAAAGGACATTTTTCTACAGCTCTGAAAGGACAGCAAGATATCTGCTGCAGCTCTACTTTTGTTTATAATCTCCTGAAAATAATGGGGATGTCAATCTGGGCTGATCTTGATTATTAGCTGGTTTACCTCGATTTTCCTGTTTTTGATCATTTTTGTTGCTGGTGAAGAAAGCATAATAGCAGTGTGGAAGATCATTGTTATTTCGAGGAGATTAGTGACACATTTCTCCTTCACATTAAGAAAAGTTTAGAAGTTTAGAGCTCATTCTGAGATCAACCTGTTTGTTTTTTTACTCTTCTTTCCTGAATAAAGGGGGGAGAAAACTTTCATATAGTTGCAAACCGTTATTGTGAAAATCTCAGACTTTCTATTTCCATCCTGAAGTTATGTGCCATCTAGTCAAGGCCAGGTTTTGTAGTCTCCTGACCACAGCAGAGCCATGAAGTCATGGTGCCAAATTTTGATTAAAAGGTTGGGGTTGTTGTTTGTTGGGAGCATCTTCATAGATCCTAGCACTGAGTACTGTGGAAATTGACTGCCCTTAGGGTATCTCTGCTGTTATTATTAAGGAGCTCCTGGCAGCTTGTAAGAGATTTGGGTATCATGGTACATTGTATGTATGTTTTTTACATTACACTTTTAAATCTGTTTGCTTGAGCGAATAATAAAGTTTCAAATCCCTTTATTTACTGGCGTGCTTATTGTCTTTGAATCCAAAAGATTCAAATTGCTTGATCACTGCCCTGGCACTTGGCAAAACAGTAAGAGATGTGAGTGTCCAACAGACAATTTGTTTCTGTTATTCAGCTCTGTAAGACTTTGTTAGCTGCACAATGGGTGGCAGGAGGCACCTTCTTCTTGGAGATTATTTCTTCCCTGGTGTTTTATTTTAGTGTTTGAATTATTATAAATTTGGTGTTGCTTAATTTAATTTTTGTGTGTGTGGATAAACAACATGTATGGACGTTTTCTTCTCATATATTTCTTACAACCACGATGGCGCCAACGACGGCCGCCTCGGTGAAATGCTCTCTAATGGTTTCTTTATTCCTTCTGGTTTGGTTCTGCAACCCAACAGGACAGACACAGACTTCAGAGGATAATTAGGACTGCAGAAAAAACAATTACTACTCACCTGCCTTCAGTCGAGGACCTGTATACTGCACGAGTCAAAAAGAGGGCTGTGAAAATATTTACAGACCCCTCACATCCCGGACATAAACTGTTTCAGCTCCTTCCCTCAAAACAATGCTATAGAGCACTGCACACCAGAACAACTAGACACAAGGACAGTTTTCCCCCGAAAGCCATCACTCTGCTAAAGAAATAATTCCCTCAACGCTGTTCAACTATTTACAAAGTGTGCAGTACTATTACTGTTAATCTTTTCATCACTCCTTATCACCCATCCCCTCCCACTTGTGATTGTAGGACTGTAACTTTGTTGCTTGTATCCTTACGATTTATATTGACTGCTTCCTAGTATGATTTGATTGTTGATTGTACTCTATGACTATCATTAAGTGTTGTACGTTATGATTCTTGATTCTTAATGAATGTATCTTTTCTTTATGTATACTAAGAGTATTTACACCAAGACAAATTCCTTGTGTGTCCAATCACACTTGGCCAATAAAGTATTCTACATTCTACATTCATTGCATATTGTTTTCACTGGGCAGATACCCTCAAAGAGAGGAAGTTCTTCAAATGTCCCGGCTTTAAAGGTGATAATTAGCATCTTGAATTCCATCCAAGGAATAACCTGGCAGCCAATTCAGCTCACACAGCAATGGTGTACTATTGGCAAACTGAAGGATGTCTATTACCACGCAAAATGCTATATTCTGGACCAACTGTAATTTCCAGGAGGTCTTCAAAGATAGTCTCACGCAGAACACATTGCAATAAGCCAGCTTAACAGAATAACAGTTGGAAGAGACCTTGGAGGTCTTCTAGTCCAACCCCTTGCTCAAGCAGGAAACTCTATACCATGGGTGTCAAACTCGCAGCATCTCATTGCCATCACATGATGTTTTGTGACATTTTCCCCATTCGTGGAGCTGAGGTGGGCATGGCCTGCATGTGACACATCCAGCCTGTGAACCACCAGTTTGACACCCCTGCTCTATACCATATCAGATAAATGGTTGTCCAATCTCTTCTTAAAAACATCCACCGATGGAGTACCCACAACTTCTGGAAGCAGGTTGTTCAAGTGATTACTTGTTCTAACAGTCAGGGAATTTCTCCTTAGTTCTACGTTGGTTTTCTCCTTGATTAGTTTCCATCCATTGCGTGTTGTCTTGCCTTCAGGTACTTTGAAAAGTACTTTGTGGCAGCCCCTTAAGATATTAGAACATCACTTGAAAGTGAGCAAGGCATGAGTGATCCTAGGCAGGGCATCCCAGGCCACAAATAAGTGTGATTGATGCACAACATGTATCTGTGCAAAAGGTCCCTAGCCAGAGCTGCCAGCTACCAATTGCTTCTTGAGCTACAAATCCAGGAAGATCCCCAAACTGTATATTAGTTCTGCCTGGGTAAGTGCTACTCAGGGGTGGGATTCAAATTTTTAACAACCGGTTCTGTGGACGTGGCTTAGGTGGTGGCTGTGGCTTGGTGGTCATGTAACTGGGTGGACATGGCTTGGTGGTCATGTTATTGACTGGGCGTGGCCAACACAATATCACTCACATCGAGTCACGCATCTTCTCCCCTGGCCCTCATGACTGTGGGGATGCTGCAACAGTCGTAAGTGTGAAAAATGGTCATAAGTCACTTTTTTCAGTGCCATTGTTAACTTTGGTCACTTCACACAAGCAAAGTACCAGCAAAGAAGGGGGAAAAAACTCCAGAGAAGTTCCTGAGACAGGAAGTCTAGTCCTGCCAAGAATGTAATAAGGGTTAATGGAGAGGCAGTTTCTGTAAGCAACACCAGAATGTTTCCGTCCTGCCTTCCTTACAGGATTAGACCAGTAATTTCTTCTAACAACAGGTTCTCCGAACTGCTTAGAATGTTAACAACCGGTTCTAGCGAATAGGTGCGAACTGGTAGAATCCCACCCCTGGTGCTACTCCATCAAGAGTCAAAAACAAAAGTAATTCAACACAGTTGGTTAGAAAAGGGGGCTTTTCACTACCACCTTCCAGCCTGACAAACTCACCCATTCCCTAAAATAGGTATTAGTCCCTTCATGCACTCAATCATATGTCGCTTCCTTGGAGGCTTTAACCAGCCAGGAGTGGCATGGGTCCAAAACACAGGTTACAGAGATCACACACAGGGGTGGGATTCAACTGGTGTTACTACCGGTTCGGTGCTGCGTGCGCGTGTAAAACAACCTTAGGCTGTGCTGCCAGGACAGCTGAAAAACGCGCGCAGGTGTGCAGCATTTGAAAAGCCTCTTTTTCCCCTGCTTTTTCAACCTCAGCTGTGCCACGCAAAGTACTGAGGTTGAAAAAGCAGGAAACAAAGGACAGGTAAGAGCCCGGGCAGGTGGGTGGGCCAAACAGCAGCAAACACAGAACTGGTTCGATGTCTGCTGCTCTTCAGAGCTACTGGCTCTATAGAACCGGGCAGAACCAGTAGCATCCCACCCAATTACAGGTAAGTTAATGTGAATATGTGCGGCTAGAATCACTAGTAGGGTCATTCAACTTGGTTAGTGGCTGATGATTTAAACATGTTTGGTAGAGCTGTCAAACTTGTGACCTATGGGCCGGATGTGTCACATGCTGGCCACACCCATGCCCAGTATAGCGAAGGGGGAAAAAAAGTCCTGATACGTCACATGACACCACCATGACAACGTGAGTTTGACAGACCTGATGTTTGGGGTATAATTCCTACATGGGGCCATTTTTGCT